TCTCACACAGCTGCTGTTTCTCTGACAGAGGGTGAGCTGATCACGAGGCTGCTGTTCCTTGGATGGGGGCTGGCTGCGCTCTGCTCTTGTTCCTCTGATGTGATGGGCTGCTTGTGAGGCTACTGCTCCTAGGATTTGGTCAGGTTGATTGCAAGTCTGCTGCTCCTCGGACGGGGACGTGCCACTCACCCAGCTGCTGCTCGTCGGACAGGTGCAGGCTGTTGTGGCTCTGCTCTTTGGACCTGTGCATGTTGCACAGGGCTGCCGTTCCTCGGACATGGGTGGTCTGCTCGTGTGGCTGCTGCTCCCCGGACGGGGTGGGCTGCTGCTGCTCCTCGAATGGGGCCAGACCACTCACAGAACTGCTGCTCCTCAGATTGGGAAGGCTGCTTGTGCAGCTGCTGCTCCTCGGACTAGTGCAGGGTGTGCACAGCTGCTGCTCCTCGTATGGGAGCAGGCTGTGCAGGGCTGCTGCTCCTCAGAGGTAGGAAGACTGCTCATGCAGCTGCTGCTCCTCAGACAGGTCGGACTGCTTGGATGGTTGCTCCTCCTCGGACGGGGAAGCAGGCAGTGAAAAGAAATAGAAAATAAAGCAACAAAAATGGGAAAAAAAGAGATAAAATAATAATAAAAAAAGGAAATAAAAAGTGGAGTGTCATTCCTTTGGCTGGCTTAAGATCCTAGTTTTATGGAATGTCTGTGATTTGTTGTTGTTGTTATTGTTGTTGTCGTTGCTGGGACTGATAGCCCCTCTATAGGTCAGACCCTGTTAACTCCCAGGGACTAATCAGATTATTTTAATCCTTCATCTCATTCAGGGTGGAATCTGGGTGTGGTTGTATTCCTTGCCTGGGGGCTAGAGGGAGGGGTGGGGTTATAATCTTAGGAGAAAATGGCTGCCCAGGTCCTGGGCTCAGGGGTGACTCAGCACTCAATTTGCTGTCACTTCTCCTGGCCCTCCTCTCTCCCTAGCCTCTCCCCAGATTCCACTCATCCGCACCTTCTCCCGCTCTTCAGCACAGGTGAGTGTCTGTATCCGGAATGTCCTATAAACAGGGTTCAGTGAAAACAAACAAACAAACAAACGCCGGCCGCAAAAACGGGGAAGGCTGAGTCTCTGTAACTCCTCTCTTACCGACACTGCATGGTCTGGTTAGTGCTTCAGGCTGCCCCTTTTAGGCTCAGTCCTCTGTAATTACAGAACCCTGATCTCAAATCCCCGGGCACCAACAGTCCCGAGGATCTCTTTTCCACAGTCAGGGGCTGTGCCTGTCCCAAGAGACACTGCTGTGTGCCACTCAGTCTCCCTCTGACCCTCCGGGCTGAGAGGTCTGGCAAACTTTCCTGCCCAGATCCCTGGTTTTTACCTTTCCAGGGGAACTCTGTCCTTCCCGGCTGCAAACTGTCTCACCAGCTGAGTATACTTCGCCAATTCGGGGTGGGTGTTATTAGTTTCAGCTGCTCATTCCATTTGCTCCGGGACAAGCCTGGGGATGCGTCTGCTTATTCCGCCGCCATCGCTCCTTCTCATCATCCTGCTTTCCATTAATCATCCAGGTCTTAAATTTTACCTGCTTAGGGAGACTGCTCCTGATCATCCTTTATGTGACTAGGTCACAACAGACTCCCTGTATTGCTCCTTTATAGCACACATCACAATTATAATAAATTATTTGTGTAATGAGTCATTTAATGCCTCTATTTTTCCCTTGCCACCACGCATTTATTTATGTTTTTTCACAGCTATATTCCCCATGCTTAGTACACAGTTGGTAATTTTAAAAAATATTGATGGAGCCGGAACTGGTTTGGCTCAGTGGATAGAGCATCGGCCTGTGGACTGAAGGGTCCCGGGTTCGATTCCAGTCAAGGGCATGTACCTGGGTTGCGGGCGCATCCCCAGTGGGAGATGTGCAGGAGGCAGCTGGTCGATGTTTCTCTGTCATCGATGTTCCTGACTCTCTATCTCTCTCCCTTCCTCTCTGTGAAAAATCAATAAAATATATTTAAAAAAAAAGTTTAAAAAAAATATTGATGGAATAAGTGAAAACCAAAAATAAATAAATAAATAAAAAGATAACAAGAGAGAATGTTAGACCAGTAGGCATCTTTAGAGGACAGATCACTGTTTCTAACTTCCAATTAACAGATAAGGAAACTGGAGCCTACACAGGTCAAGAAAAATCTCTTAATATGCTTACTGATAGGTCTTTTAAAAGAAAGCTTTCTACAGGTACTGTAGTAACAATCCTATACACTTCTCAGAAGAGACCACAGCCTTGTCTGGAGATCTCAGTCCTTAATTTTCCCCCAGTTGAATCAGATAAGTTGTAACAGAACATGGCCAACCCTAAAAGCCTGACTTTATCAATTCATTGCGTAAATAATGCCTGTAGGACATGTGGAAGATTCAGTTTATAAGTTCTCATTTCACTTGTTGTTATTATTCCTGGAGTCATCAGAATGTAGACTTTCCAGGTCACAAAAACAAATATATTTTGACTAGAGGCCCGATGCACAAAATTTGTGCAAGAGTAGGCATTTGCAGCCCTGGCTACCTTGGCCTCACGGCCCTGCCCACTGGTCATTCTGGAAGGTTGTTCTGCCATCTAGTCTAATTAGCATATTAGCTCTTTATCATATAGGATAGGACTTCATATTCTTGGCTTCCTTTTCCTTAAGAAATTTATACTAATATATGCTCTATGATCATCAAGTAATTAAGTAACTAGCAGATGAATTGAGCCCATCTGATTCCTGGTGATATTAGTCTCATTATCACCTGCTCCTTCAAGGTTTATATCTGGTGGGGAAGGAGAAAGCAGTGGAAGAAATAAAGAGAAACCCCACTTTTAGAAGCAAAGTGGATTGAAATACCTCAGTGTGAAAGCCTATGGCATTTTGGGCTGTGATAAATGTTTGTTTTTTTCTTCTATGTAGATGTTTCCATTAAACTGAGCATTGCCTTTAGAAGTTGGCAGACGTATTTTTCCTCCTACAATGGTGTCCTTTATGGCCTCTGAAATTAGGAAAAGAAATAGGAAGAGGAAATCTACACAGGCAAAACTATAACAAAAATTGGATCTACAAGATTTAAATAATAATCATGGAAATTAAGCCACCACAAGAATTCCAAAGGAGTATTTGAATCATCTGGAGTGTAAATTTAATACATTGATTCCAGAGCATTGCTCCAAACCTACTAAATAAAATCTTCAGGAATCTCCATGTTTATCGAACATCTCAGGTGATTCTAATTTAAGCGGATCACAGTTTGAGAAACATTGCATTAGAGGACAAATTATATCAACTATATTATTTGGACTAACTCTGTGTCATGATGGCAGATTGGGTTTGACTGACCCGGACATTATTGATTGCAAGGCAACCATGATAAGGTAAAAGGAAGCCTAACCCTGGACTCAATAACGTTACTAAGTCTTGACTATCAACTGTGACCTCAGTCAAGTAAATTATCCAATCTAGGCCTTCATTTATTTGCATGTAAAATAAGAATATTTAGGCTATCTTGAAGTAACTGAAGATATCAATGAGGTAGTTTATGTAAATATGCTTTGTAAATTTTAAGCCACTATGGAGAAAATGGTCATCATTAATGAGCTAGTTATAGCACTCTGTGGTTAATAATATCTCAGGCCTCTCTTTTCCTGGATGTTTGGTTAGTTGTTAAGCATTCTATGCATAATGGATTGGTCTCTAGTATACAGCAAAAATACAAAAAAATTATTTTGTGCTATGTTACCCACTGTGGGTGTTAGTCATTTATTTGTTTTTAGGGTGTAGATCATTTATTTATTTTATTATCTGATTACATAATAAATATTACAAAAAGTAATTAATTTTATGGAAAGAAAAACTATGATCAGTTTTCGTTAGCAGGTTGTGGAACCTCCTTCCAGTGTAATGTCCATTTCTTTCTATGACCTATGTCAGGGAGATTAATCTGCTTTCCACAAGGGAATGTTGTGCAGAATCATGCTTTTTACCTGCAGAAAGAAATTTAGCAATCTGTCAAACCAGATTCCATAGAAATACAATCTACTGTTGTCATTATGAGGAGTGCAGTGTTTCAGAGATTATCAGTTGTACTTTACTTAGCTCACTGGAATCCATCAAAATATTCTGGTAGAGGGTTCCTTTCATATTTGGAAAAGGGGAGTAGAATATATGTGAGTATTGACTATAAATGACAAAACACTCATATAGAGTAGGAAATCCTACTCTTCTCTCCACTTTTTCTGTACAAGAAGATACTTGTCTCTATTTTGCATTCTTTTTTCTCTTAATGAGGCAGCAATTAATACAGAAAGCAAATAAAATATTATAATAGCTAAAGCAAATGTCTAAATCACTGGCATTTGCTTAGGGAAAAATGTCTCCTGAAAGATGGGCTGAAACTAGATATGTTTGACCCCAAATATTTTATTTTTACCCATTTATTATTCAATCCACTTACTTTGGAGAAGGAATCTGATTGCTCCTTGCAAGGTTTTTTTTTTTCTTTTTTCTTTTTATTTCGCCTTAGTCAATGGTTTATTTGTCTTCAGAAAGTTGAAACTTCTTTGTGCAAATTCATGGGAATTGAGGGGTCCCCACAGTAAAGCTTGTTTTTAAATCTTTCTAATTTGGAGACAAGGGAAGTATCTATTCCATTACAAAACATTTTCTGTCAATCATTTATGGTTGAACTACTTTTAGAGTGCTTGATGAGTGAGGATATATTTTATTTTCTATCCTTTCCTAATATTCATTATTCATAAATGGACATTTTTGAAGAGATATCATTAGCTTTCAGATGCTGTGAAGAAAGAAAAATGAAGACTCTCCTGAATCTTCTTGCTTTTGACCTTCCTCACCACTTTCAATTACAGTGGGGCCTTGACTTACGAGTGTCCCAACTAACAAGTTTTTTGAGATAGGAGCCGTCTCTCGGCCGATTTTTTGCTTTGAGTTGCGAGCTAAAATTTCGGTTATGAGCCAGCTTCAGATACCCCACCGCTAGTTGGCGCAGCGAACGTCACAGTGAACGCCACAACATCAGCCCAGCATCACGTGTCTCACTCGTTCACTTTTGATTTGACATACGAGTAATTTGAGTTATGAGCTCCGTCACGGAATGAATTAAACTCGTAAGTCAAGGCCCCACTGTATTTTGTCATCCTTAATTCCTGACAGATAGGGTGCGCACCAGAAACATAAGGTATGCCTTTAATGCTTTTTTTCCCACATGGATTAATGGAAATATTACTAATTTTCACTTTTTTCCTATCATCTTCAAAGCCAGCTCTGTTAGAATTATTTGCTTGTAAAGAATCTGAATGCACAGAGAGCAGGTTGCAGTTAGGTTTAGGGGGTGCCAAATTATAAAGGATACTAAACATTCCTGAAAAGTTAAAGAGATGGATAAGTCTTCTCAAGAAGAGCCTGGTATTAGCAGGAATAAATAATGTCCACTTGAATAGATAAGTGAGGAGGAGAACCTATGCCTGAAGAGCAATTCATGGTTGATAAATTCTGAGGCATACAGGTCTGGTTAGCAGGAGGCCTGTTTTGTTGAAGAGGTATACAATTTGGGCCAGATGTGAATTGCTAAGTACATAGGAAAAAAAGTGGTTTGTCTTCATTGGGGATTTCATTTGTATCCCTTTTAGCAGGCAGGTGTTTCTCAAAATAAATGTACAGATAAATATTTCAAGGACCTGTGTGGGGCATCACATCATCAGAATAAGAATTGGCCCAATGCTGAATGCACTCTATCTCCATTCCTGGATTGAAAGTAGTTGTCATGAGCAGGCTGTTTATCTCTAGGCCTGAAGATGAGTCCAAGAGTGTAGTGGGCTAAAGAAGAAAAAAACACTTTCAATATCCAAAAAACAGTTAAGAATCACTGATTTCCTAGGACATTAGAATGGGACTTTCCTGAGAAGAAATAGGAGTAATTTTCCAAACTCTGCCACAGGCTGAGTCACCTACACATCAGTATGTTATTTCTGCTTTGTCCCTGATACCCACCTGCTTTGGATGCCAATTTATTCTTCTGAACTCCTGCTCTGATAGGAATGTGGTCTCTGTGTTAGATTGTTTTTAAATTAATAGACTTTATTTCTTAGGGAAGCTTTAGGTTTATGGAAAATTTGAGCAGAAAGTACAGAGTTCCCATATACTACTGCTCTCTCCCCCCACAAGTTTCTCTTATTATTGATATCTTGCTTTGGTGTGCCACATTTATTACAATTGATGAAACAATATTGGCATGTTATTATAAATTAATGTTCATAGTTTATAATCTTCCTAATGCCGCAACCCTTTAATATAATTCCTCATGTTGTGGTGACCCCCAATTTCATTGTTACAAATTGAACATAATTAAACCATAGTGATTAATCACAAAAACAATATGTAATTATATATGTGTTTTCCGATGGTCTTAGGCGACCCCTGTGAAAGGGTCGTTCGACCCCCAAAGGGATCGCGACCCACAGGTTGAGAACCGCTGGCTTATATTATGGTTCATTCTTTGTATTTTACACTTCTATGGCTAATATATAATATCATCTCCACAATTACATTATCATACAGAGTGGTTTCACTGGCAACCATTGATCTTGTGAGTGTCTTTATAGTTTTGACTTTCCTCAGAATGTCATATTGTTGGAATCATACAGTATGTAGACTTTTCCTACTTGCTTTTTTAAATTATCCATATGCATTTAAGTTTCCTCTATGTCTTTTTGTGACTTGATAGCTCTCTTTATTTTGTTGCTGAGGTAAGAGAAATTAACATGATTTACCCTCTTACCAATTTTTTTATTAAATTGACATTTTAAGTGTATGATACAGTATCTTTATTTTTAAGCAAAGAGAGAGAAAAGGATGAAAGAACTCTAAAAGACAGTAAGACTATATTTAAACTTCTCTGGAGATGAAGGAAAGTCTGCATTCATTTTGCTAGTTTTCTTGGTTTTATTGTTGGGTGCAAAGGACTGCTTCTATTTAGTTGTCTTATCACGTTTAGTGCAAAAGTAGTAGTGATACTTAAAGTTACCATGCCTACTTCTAAGCTTCTGTATGGAATATATACTCCAGGCCAAAACTTTGTGTCACACTGTACTTGCTGCAAAGTGTGATATCTTTTTCATTAAATTCATTTTCCTAATATCTCTAATGTGTTCCAAGTTATTTCTGACTACTAGAAGATTTATTGTATGTCACCTATTCCTCCTGTTTTCATACCTATTTGTCTTTGGAGAAAAGTATATCTGCTAAATTGACATTCAGATTGGATGATTGTCTGGATTCTATTTCCAAGGCTATAATGATATTGAGCAACTCTTTTTGATACTCAGCTACTGAATGTAACCTCATTTGGGGTTTTTGGTCACTTATCTTCCTGTAAATGTGAATCCTGATACCATCACTCTCTTTGCCCTCCTCTCAATAAATCATGGGTAGTGACTGGGGAAGGGACCAAAAGTGACATTTATTGAGTACATACTATGCATCAGGTGCTTTGCAAATTGTGACTTAATTTGTTAGCTGAGTTTAAAAAAGACAAAAGCACAAAAAAGACATGAGTCTCAGAGAGGTTAAGTAATTTGCCCAAATTTACCCAACTATTGTGTATTTGTATTAGAGCCTCACATTTAGCTCCCCAATTCAGATCCCAAAGCCCATGCTTTTTGTACTTCACCAAACTGCACCCCAGATAAAAATTCTGTGTTTTTCATGAGCTAGAGACTTGCTTCTCAAAATGTGATTCATGAACTACCAGCATTAGCATTACCTGGGAGCTTGTTGAAAATGAATGTTGGGCCACAACCTATATCCACTGAATCTGAGTATTTGTTATAACAAGACCTTAGTTGATTTGCAAGTGCAATAAACTTTAAGAAGCATTGGTGTAGAGAATATTTCAGAATGGGCCTTGAGATTTAAAGTATTTTATACTTAAGAATTGGTACTTGTTAGTTAATGTGACTATTGGCCTAAGACACCCCATTTACCAGTCTCTTCATTTTTTTCTTTATTTTTTTTTCCATCTTTATTTCATTTTTTCCAACAAGTCTCTTTTTTGGCCACTTTATTCCCTTCACCTTTTATTTCTTCTCCAAAATGCATGTCTGACGACTATCATTCTTTATTTCCTCTGTTCTCCTGTTAGTATCCTAAAGACATTCCCTGGGCATGTAGTCTGACCTTGTTTCCGATTACATGCAATGAAGAACTGGATATTTTTTATTCTAGATGAGTTTTCAAACCTTAATCCAATGAGGTCCAACTAAATCTAGAAGCAGTCTCCTCTAAACCTGAGAAAATAGAGCCCCTCAAAGCTTTATTATATTATATTAATCAGACATCTTCTATATGATATCTCTTCTATTATTTCCAAACAACTTTACACCATTTATTGCAATTTAGAAGTGAATTCCAAGTGAGGTCAAACACTATTTTACAGTGTACTGCAGTGATTTTCA